CCCAAAACCAAGTCAGTTTGCAGTCGTGTGCGGTCAAAACCAAAATGAGATGGTGTTGTCTTCTTTCAGGCCTTCCATTCTCTTTCTCTCCCCTGTAGGCTGTAACTAAGGGAGTGGCGCAGGTTGCTTTTGTAAGATGTATGTTGCATTGCAGAAAGTGTTTAAATTTAATTTGTCTTCATGCAGCTCTGGTTGGTCACCTCTGGGTTAAGAGTGCAAAATACAGCTGTGTGGGTTTTGCTAATACCCTCTCCTATTAAGAAAATTGAAGCTTCTTTTCAGATGCTAAGAGGCCAAGAGCAAGCTAGTAACATGCTTTGTCACGAACACAACGAGGATAAAATGCATACTTCTTGTTGGAAAATGGGAACCTTCCATAGAGATCATTAACTGAGAGTGTTGAGGGCGTAGAGGCGGAGTATGGTGACCCTTTAAAGAAATCCTGTCATTAGCAATTTCATGTAGGTCTTCGAATCGGAGTTGGAAGAGACCCCCTGCCAAAAAGCAGGAAAATCACACTCAAAGCACCTCTGACAGATGGCCATCCAGCCTCTGTTTAATCCAGTTCAACCCCCTGCCAGGAAGCAGGAAAATCACACTCAAAGCACCCCTGACAGATGGCCATCCAGGCTCTGTTTAAAAGCCTCCAAAGAAGGAGCCTCCACCACACTCTGAGGCAGAGAGTTTCACTGCTGAACAGCTCTCACAGTCAGGAAGCTATTTAACAAGTCAGGAAGGTCTTTAACAAGACTGTAGTTTTCTGGACTGAATCAAAATATCTGCAGTTCAATGTGTTGTTGAAGGCTTTCATGGCCGGAATCACTGGGTTGCTGTGAGTTTTCCAGACACTGTGGCCATGTTCCAGAAGCATTCTCTCCTGAAGTTTCTCCCACATCTGTGGCAGACATCCTCAGAGACTGGGGTTTATTACCTGTGGGGTTTATACCTGTCGTTCGCCTCCTTTTCCTCCTGTCTTCTACTTTACAAGCATTATTGTTTTCCCCCAGTGTGTCATATTGCATTACGCATCCAAATTACGACAGTCTCGGTTTAGTCATCTTGATTTCTGATGAGAGTTGTGGCTTGGTTTGCTGTAGCATTCATTCATGTGTCTTTTTCTCAGTCCATGTTCTTTGTAGGAATCTTCTCCAGAACCACATTTTAAATGTGTTAATTCTCTTCCGGACAGCTTTCTTCATAGTTTAGGTTTCACATCCATATGTAGAAATTGTTTGGTTTTGTCCAAGTAGGTTCCTACCCTCTCTCACCTCCCAAACCCCAACCATCAACTGCAGCAGTTCCTCCGAGCATAGCTATTGCTCCACCAGTGGAGGGTGTTGTGTTTTGTGGCATTCAACAAGAACAAAGCACTAAGTTCCTCTTTATGTGTACTTTATGTGCGCGTTGAGTCGCCGGCTAGGCTGAGAAACGGCGGTATACAAGTATAGCAAATAAATAAATAAATAAATTTTTTCAACAACGTCTTACAATATAGTCTCGCTTATCCAGTCTTTGTTTATCCGACATTCCACCTTGTCTGACTCACTTATCCCACCCCCCACCTCTTCCACCAACATTTTCCCTTCAATTAAAGGAGTGCTCCCAACTTCTCTCTCCATTCCTAGTAAGTAAAAAAGGAAAGAGGAGGAGGAAAGGGGAAAGGAAAAGATGCAGGACTGGAAGCATCCTCCCTCCTTCTCTCTGTGATTTTCACACTTTTCTTCCACATCCAGGCACTTCTTGCAGGGCCCAAGGTATTGCCTTGTCTTAACCCTTTGAATTCCTGTTAGTATTATCGGTGTCTAGTGCCGTGTCGGATGGGTAACAGTAGGAGGCTCTGTATTATCCAGCAGTTTTGTTTATCTAATGTTCTGCTGGCCCATTTATGTTGGATAAGCGCGACTCTGCTGTAGCTATGACTGACCACGGGGACTTGGAAGATAAGCAGGGGACAGGGCAGGTACTTTTACCCATCTTGGTGAAGTTCCCTAGTCCTACTTCTAGATCTCCTAAGGATTAAATGTAGAGAGTCCTGGGACTCTCATTGACTAGCTCAAATTTTCCGGCGTCCATGGCCCCACCTCAATTGATATTTGATCATTCACATATAGTAGGCCATACCCTTGGTCTCCTTTTTGCTGGAAATGATTATGGTGATCTTAGGGTAAGGAGTTCAAAATAAACTCATTGTTAGGGATAGTTCTCTACTTGATAGGGTTGAGATTTGTTGAGGCTCTTAACCCCTGCAGGGGCAGTGAACTCATTAAAATGGTCTTCCCCCAGACATGAATGGATCCTAAAATATTTCTGAATGCTTGATTTTAAAGGCGCTGGAGTTGATTTGGAGGATGCCTTAGTTCAGTGGTTCTCAACCTGTGGGTGCCCAGGTGTTTTGGCCTACAACTCCCAGAAATCCCAGTCATTTTACCAGCTATTAGGACTTCTGGGAGTTGAAAGCCAAAACATCTGGGGACCCTCAGGTTGAGAACTACTGCCTCTGTGGAATAGGGAGATGGCTTGAGTAATTGACACAGTTGTGCCCTAGCAGCCTTTACTTAGGCATGGTTTTCTGGTTTTCTGTGGCAGAATCTACACTGTGATATATCCCATAATCTCACCCCAGATTATCTGTTTTGAACTGGATTATATGTGTCTACACTGCCAGATAATCTGGGATAAGTATATAATCTGTGATCAGATACTGGAATATAGGGCAATGTAGATCCAGCCAAAGGAGCTTGGAGCAGTGAAGTATGCAGGTAGATGACTAGAGTGACAGTGGAGAAAAAAGCAGGATGAACCCAAATGAACACAGGTTAAGGGACTTTTCAGAACCTAGTTAGTAGCATTGAGAACATCAACTCATCTCATCGGCACAGCTTTTCTAGGTAGTCAAAAGACTATAACTTCCTAGACCATACACTGCTGAGAGAAAGCCCTTGAAAAGCACTCTAATTAATTTGTTAAATACTTTGCAGAGAAAATTGCTTAAATTCTCAGTTGGACTCCACACTGAAGGTGTGATGGCAACACAACTTCAGACTTCCTTAGATTCTAATTGGCAACAGGACTGGTGATGGGATCAGAAGCAGCCTTGGTAGTTGACGTAACTGGGAGTTGGACAGGGGGAGTGATTCCCCATTGATCCTTTTGGATATTTCAGCAGCATTTGATACCATCAACCATTTTATCCCTCTAGGTCCTCTGACCAATATAAGACTTGGAGGGATTGCTTTGTCGTGGTTCTGGTATTTCTTGGTTGAATGTTCCCAAAGAGTGATTCTGGGGGACTGTTGTGTTCAGCCTTTTGGCCAATAGCCCGGGTCTCATCAGAGACCAATACTGTCCTCTAGTCTTTTCAACACTTACATGAATTTGTCAAGAGCATTTTATAGCTTTGGAGTATTGTATCGGTATGTTGACGATACCAACTATCTCCTTTCAATTGATATCAAAGAGGTGGTAGTTGTAAAAGACGTGATATAGGTGAATAGACTTAGGCATAATCTAGATAAGTAGTGTTGATAAGTAGGAAAACCAATGTGGGATTGGGGTCACAGCCTGTACTGAGTGAGTTTGCACTGACTCTGAAAAATCAGGTTCATAACTTGGAGTTGCTCTTGTACCTGGTACTGCTCCTGAAAAAGCAGATTGCTAGAGTAGCCAGGAGTGTCTTTGCCTCTCTTTGGCCAGTGTGTCAACTGCATTGCTACAGTGATTCATGCCTTAGTTATGTCTTGTTCACACTGGTGTAATTTGTTCTACACGGGGTTGCCCCTGAAAAGTGTTTGGAAACTGCATCAACTGAGACCATAAAACACTGGTCCTGCAAGAACTGCTCTGGTTTCCAATTTGCTTCTGCAATCAATTCTGGATCCTGGTGTTGACCTACAAAGCCCTAAATGAACTTGGGGCCAAATGGACTTGGGGTTGCCTTCTCCATTTGAACCAACTAGACCTGTCATGGGCATACTTTGGCCCTCCAGGTGTCTTGGACTTCAACTCCCACAATTCCTAACAGCCGGCAATGTGTTTCAGTGTGTTTTACTTTTATTGTTATTTTATTTGGTTATTGCCTCAGGAGCCTTTGTGGAAAGGGAAGTGATATATAGAAATACTTTAAACAATTAAGTATTAAATTAATGTGGCAAAAGGGGCTGCATTTTTCTCAGTTTCCAAAACTAAAGATGTTCTTAGGATGGGGATGTTAATCTTGCAACTGAAGCAATACTTAAAGGCTAGTTCTGACATTTTATGTCTCCAAATGGAAAATCATTTTTAATTATTCTAGAGGTGCATAACTGAAAGTAATGCAAAAATATAAAATTTGTTGGATAATCTTGCTTCTGTTAGATTCAAGTAAAGATTGTAGTAACATTTACAACACTATTACAGTGCAAATATTTTTGTATAGTAATTAATTTGGAACTGTCCTCAAAAGCTCAGTGCTACTTTACACAGTGGGAACTCAACTGAAATGTCAAATCCTTTGCTTTAGGGCATTGGTTCCCAACCTGTTTTTGATCAGGGAGCACTTGACCAGGGACCACTCTCCAACATTAGCACCATAAGGGTTATGAATCTGTTTTTGGTCAACTTTAGATTTGGTTTGGTTATTTGGTGTGCTGATTCAGAAACTTGCATTGGATAGACCACATCAGCTCTAGTTTCTGATACAGAACATATGCCATCCAGTCATTGCCATCTGCTTGCCCACAGAAAACCATATTTAAGAAACCTCAACACTATAAGAGGGTTTCGCGAGACCAGTCATTCTCGTTGTAACGGTGAGGCCACAGACCATATTTTAGTTCTTGTAGACCACATGTTGGGAACCATTGATTTAGGGGGTATTTTACAAATAACTTGTTTCCAACTTGTGTAAGTGGTCAGTGATACTGTGAGACCATTTTCCTTCTCCCTCTAATATAATTACTGTTTGTGTTTTTGAAAATGGTAACTAAGAACGTTTTCCAACTGATGGGTTTTAAATGTTACAGAGGGATGTGTGTGCGAGAAGAACAAACGGACAGGAGACTGCGTTCAAGTCGGCAACATCTGCCAATGCAAATCTCTTGGATCTAATACCACAGTGAACTGTTCAACATGTAAGTACAAGAGCACAGGAAAGCCTAGAGAGCTTGCTTTTCCGTTCTGAATATGAAATGGAAATGTGTTGCTGCATCACAACTTATTATTTATTCAACATTTTGAAATGAAATGTCTGATAACCTTGAGATTTATATCAAGTGTCTTTTATTTTTAGTGACATCAAAATGCCTGTTGATGAAAGCGGAAATGTTTGGCACAGGGAGTGGCAGAAGGGGAAGACCCAAAACAGCCTACATAGATAACGATGGCATTTATAACCCGGAATGTGACAACAGTGGTAAATTCAAAGCTAAGCAGTGCAATGGGACAACCACTTGCTGGTGCGTGAACAGTGCTGGAGTTCGAAGAACTGAAAAGGGCGATCTGGACCTGACATGCAGCGAGGTCGTAAGGACAAGGTAAGTCTTCTCATGGTCAGTTGAACATACCTTTGGTCCTGTGTGTTTCACCTTAGAATCATTGAATCATAGAGTTGGAAGAGACCTCATGGGCCATCCAATCCAACCCCCTGCCAAGAAGCAGGAAAATTGCATTCAAAGCACCCCTGACAGATGGCCATCCAGCCTCTGTTTAAAAGCTTCCAAAGAAGGAGCCTCCACCACACTCCAGGGCAGAGAGTTCCACTGCTGAATGTCTCTCATAGTCAGGAAGTTCCTCCTTATGTTCAGATGGCATCCCCTTTCTTGTAGTTTGAAGCCATTGTTCCATTGCGTCCTAGTCTCCAGGGCAGCAGAAAACAAGCTTGCTCCCTCCTCCCTATGACTTCCTTTCACATATTTCTGCATGGCTATCATGTCTCCTCAGCCTTCTCTTCTTCAGGCTAAACATGCCCAGCTCTTTAAGCTGCTCCTCATAGGGCTTGTTCTCCAAACAATTTTAAATGGGAAGATACAAATACCATACCTATCAGATATGGGCAAACTTTGGGACTTCCACAATTCCTACCATCCTCAGCCCCTTCTCCCCCGCCCCGCATCCACTTAATTATATGGAAGTGTAGAACAGGCATCACAATAGACTGAGTATTTGTTCCCTGTCCTTAGGCTTGCAATTTAGAGCTGTTCTGTAAGGTGTCTAAACATCTTTTGAGTGTTCTTTAAGCTTATTACTGTGGACTCACTGGGGTTTGTTTGTACTTCATTTTTCAGTTGGATTATTATGGAAATGAAACATGACGACAGAAATAGTCCTGTGGACCAAGCCACCCTTGCAAGGTAAATCCTAATACTATAGTCTTCACAATCAACATATATATATAAAGATTTATATATATAAAATTATGATAATGGTGCTCGTTTATGAGTGAATGCTCTGCAGAATGGATCTTAATGCTTTGTATATTTGTATGGTCTGAGTTACCACAATTTAAACCTTTCTCCTAGCTTCTAAGCTTATATTGATAGCACAAAATAGGTGACCCCCAAAGGGTTGGCTCAGTCTCTATCACTTCTGTCAAAAGGGAGAGATACGAGAGTTGGGAGTTAAGGAGCCAATAAAAATTACTGAAGACTTCATGAGTCTGTTGGATCACTTAAAGACTTAGGGCTCTTCTACACAACCATATAACCCAGAATATCAAGGCAGAAAATCTCACAATATCTGCTTTGAACTGAGTTATATGAGTCCACACTGCCATATATTCCAGTTCAAAGCAGATAATGTGGAATTTTATTCAGCTGTGTGGAAGGAGCCATAGTGATTACATATGACATGGGTTTTAGAATTGATCACCATGTTAAAATGTGTTTTAGGGTAAATATTTTTGTTCTTTTAATTTCCAGGGAAATCAAAGATTCATTCAGTCGGCGTTATGGTTTGGATCCAAAGCACATACATGTTGAGGTATGAATGGGAATTCTTGTGGGTCCAGGGCAGGCTATGCTTGTGTTCTTAAAGAAAGCAGATACATTTTAACTTGCCTTAACCCATGTTCAAGATACTGCTATCAAAGTCTCTCATGGAGGAATTCTGGAGCTGCAATAGAACAAGCCTCAAACATTCCTGAATCTTCTGGGGTTGGCTTCAGGGGCTGCAAAATAAGAAGTCACATGTAGTCTTTTTGCTATATGTGCCCCACCCAGTAATGGGAGTCTTCATCAAACATCAATATGTAATACAGTGGTTACCAACCTTGGGCCTCCAGGTGTTTTGGACTTCAGCTCCACAGTTCCTAACACTTGGTAAGCTGGCTGGGCTTTGAAATCCAAAACACCTAGAAGCCCTAAGGTTGGGAACCATTAATGTAATAGAATCCTAATTTTATAGTTGACAATATGGAATTCTTCTTTGTTGCAGTGTTGCATTACGTGTTGGTGTTCTTTATTTATTTGCACACTGTCAAAGCTAAGCATCGGGAAGCATGCAAATCAGGAACACCGAATTGCTTTGATATTTGATACTTTACCTCCTGTGATGCATCTTACTGAAACATAAATTGGGCTGGGCTTTAGCACAGCAGGTTAACCGCCAGCTGCACTAAATCTTGCCAATTGAATGTTTGCCGTATATGTGTTCTGTGATCCGCTCTGAGTCCCCTTCGGGGTGAGAAGGGCAAAATATAAATACTGTAAGTAAATAAATGTACTGAACTGTGAAGTTTTCAAAGGAATATGATACCTAAACTCTCAAGACTTTGAAAAACATTGAAAGTCAGAGGAAAAGTGATTGGATTGTGTAGTGGTAACTTTCTGCCTTATTCTTTCCAGTATGAAGACCCTTACATTTTTATTGATTTGAAACAAAATGTTTCTGAGAAATCTGTTGGAGATGTGGACATAGCAGATGTGGCATACTACTTTGAAAAAGATGTAAGTATGCTGGTTTGTTGGAACAAGATGGAATGCAATGGCTTGTGTAAATTTAGTGATGTATTAAAAAGTTTATATCATTTGGAAAAATAGTTAAATTATTATATATTTTGTTTTAGGTTAAAGAGGACCCCTTGATCTCAAGTGGCCGATTTGATATTCCGATTGCCGGAGAAACTCTGAAACTCAGGGATGCTGTAATCTACTATGTTGATGAAAAGCCACCAGAGTTCTCAATGAAAGGCCTGACAGCTGGAGTTATTGCTGTAATTGTGGTTGTAATCCTGGCAATAGTTGCTGGTATTCTTGTATTGGTACGTTTTTGACTTTTCCTTTGGAAACGATCCCCATTCTTTATACAACCTCCACAGTGTCTAATATTTAAATTGTTTATACTATAATAAGCTTTCGGTGAGTCTGGAGCTGAAAGGACTTCTGAGAGATCTGTAATAATGATGGAGATGTACATCATCCCCATCATTATTATAGATTCTCTCAGAAGGCAGATCCATGTTATGTCCAAGGGGGCATCTACACTGTAGAATTAATGCAGTTTGACACCACTTTAAGTGCAATTTCTCAATGCAATCATTGGAATTGTAGTTTTATAAAAGCTTGGTGGTGCTGCCTCACAAAACTACAAATCACAGGCTTCCATAGCATTGAGCTGTGGCAGTTAAAGTGGTATCAAACTGCATTGATTCTACAGTATAGATCAGGTGTGGGCAAACTTGGGCCCTCCAGGTGTTTTGGACTTCAACTCCCATAATTCCTGGCTGTTAGGAATTGTGGGAGTTGAAGTCCAAAACACTTGAAAGGCCTAAGTTTGGGCAAGCCTGGTATAGATCCAGCTTGATACAAGGTTTGGCAGCCTTATCAGGTTATGCCGTTTACTGGCTTGCTCCTAAATATATGATAAAGTTTAGATTAACTCTAGAGCTAAATAGCAAGCCAGTCACACCATTGATTCATCAAACTCAATTCAACCTACACGGACTGGCAGCAACTCTCCAGTATTTAGGCCTTTCCTAGTCCTCAATGGAGATAACCAGGGATTATTGTAGACACAAATGTCTTGCAAATAAAATAAAATAATAATGATAACATCACTATATTTGTATTCCACCCTATTTCCCTGAGGGGACTCAGGGTGGATTTCGGCATATACAGACACAAGGTAAACTTTTAGTGCCTCGAAACAATAAAACACAGTAAAGACTTCCCCTTCATCTCTGGGCGTGGTGCTCATCTCCATTTCTAAGCTGAAGAGCTTGCATTGTCCATAGACACCTCCAAGGTCATGTGGCTGGCATGACTGCATGGAGCGTTGTTTACCTTTCCACTGAGGCAGTACCTATTGATCTATTCACATTTGCATTTTTTCGAACTGCTAGGCTGGCAGGAGTTGGGGTTAACAGCAGGAGCTCACAGCCAACCTTCCAGTCAGCAGCTCAATGGTTTAACTCATTGTGCCACTGCAGCGGGTTATACCTTTAGTATTTTGAGAGCAGTGTCGATTTGTTTAACAGAGTCATCACTAATTGACCTTAGTAACATCAAGATAATACCTGTACATTGTATCAATGTTTTATAAGTCTTAGATCTTTCAAACATCTTAATTTTTTTTAAAAGATGTGGCCTAATGTATTCTTTTTTTCACTACAGGTCTTTACTAGAAGAAAGAGGGGAAAATACGAAAAGGCTGAGGTAAGTGCTTGTTTTTTTTTTTAAAGAAGAGGTACATAAAGCCTGAGTGATAAACTTTTTCTGTAATAATATATGCATTTGATTCTTTTGTGGACTAGTTAAAGCAGTAGTTGAAAAGCCAAACAAAACGTATTTGCAACTTAGTATTTGAACTGCATGCATCTCAAAGCTCGCCCATACTATTCGGAAAAAAAAAACATTGTCCATAAGTTTTTTTTTATTAAATTGGAGTCAGAAGGCTTGTCATTATAAGTCTGAGATTGAATTCTCCCAGAGCACATTCAGCCCCATTTTACCTTAGAGTACATAGTTGTATTCATGTGTCATAGGTTTTAACTTGTTCAAATTGTACTGCCATTGAGTGACTGAAATTTATTCTAAAGACGTATGTTTGAAAAAGAATAAAAAATTATTTTTTCCTCTGCAGATAAAAGAATTGAATGAAATACCAAGAGAACGAAACTCGTAAATGCTGTAATATGAAACAGAAGAATGAATGCAGCAAAGGTGTAAAAACTTCTTGAAGTCTAGGCATATGGACACTTCAGTTTTATATTTTCCTGTAGTTTAGTGAGAGGATTACTTTTATTGAGCCTAGAGTGTTCCGTTTTGGGGGATGTAAACTATTTTAAAATTTGAGAACTTGTTTGTCCAGATTAGTGTCATTCCTTTGTCACAGTTACGATTGTAACACTCGCAATACCTTATAATTGGATGTATGCTTAGACACCATTTCATGTAAACGTTTTAGAAATGTCTAGCAAATGTTCGTTGCTAAATAACTCTTGCATACAGTAAAATGCAGCGTGTTTTCTAATGTTTGTACATATTTTTCTTCAAATTTGCTGGATTTTTTTACACATAATTAATAAATTCTGGAACAAACTTTTGTGCTCTTTGTGGTATCAATAATGTTAATTTCCATGACACTCTTCCTGGTACTGTCTCTTTTCTCTCCTTAGTTTAAGATCATCTGTAGTACTAGGAAATGCATTAATAGGTTCTGCATTGGTTATTTATTAATTATTTTTATTTACTATATTTGTATGCCACCCTTCTCAACCCTCAGGCAACTCAGGGCAATTTACACCTCATCTAGACTACTGTGTCCAGTTCTGGGCACCACAATTCAAGACAAAAGGTTGGCCAAAATGAGCAAATGAAGCCAAGCCTAAGAGGAGCATTTTAGGGAGCTGGATATATTTAACTTGGAGAAAAAGAAGACTAAGGGGGGACCTTATATTTGAAAGGAGGTAATATTGAGGAGGTGGCAAGCTTGTTTTCTGCTGCTCTGGAGACTAGGTCACAGAGTAATGGATTTAACTGGAAGGAAGAGATTCCACCTAAACATTAGGAAGAACTTCCTTACAGAAAGAGCTGTTCAGCAGTAGAATATGCTGCCTCAGAGCATGATGAAGTCATCTCTGGGGGTTTTTAAGCAAAGGCTGGATGGCCATCTGTTGAGTGCTTTTGTTGTATTTTTCCTGCATAGCAGAGGATTGAATTGGATGGCCTTTGTGGTTTCTTTTTGTGATTCTCTCTATGCATGGTGGATGTCTTTGGTGTAAATATGGAGGCAGTTGTCCTTGCTACAGGTACTGATTCAAGGAGTAAGTGGCCACTGTTCATTTCACAGACAACAGGACGTGAGGGACATCTACCCCTCAGAAGGGAAATTCACTCCTGAAAAAAAAGTGATACACTGACGCAGTATCACCAATCCTTGTTTCCACATCCAATTATCACAGGGACAGAAAGTGAGATGAAATCATCTGAATAGCAGCATGGACAACAAAACAAATGTCACAAGGGTGTTAACACTTCCCTATGCTATCCAAAGCGTGTGTGTGTGTGTGTGTGTGTATATATGTGTGTGTGTATGGCTAGAGTTACACTTAAAAATGTACCTGTTCCAACTTACAAATTCAACTTAAGAACAAACCTACAGAACCTATAATGTTTGAAACTTGGGGACTGCCTGTTCCAAGCTTCATTTCGAACCCACAATTCTGCAAGCACTCCTGTGTTTTTGGTTATTCTGTGCAATCCAGAAAACATAATGGCTTCTATGTGCAATACATTTAGCCATGGAATGTGTTCTTATAGCCAGACTATATATTGCTATGTGGTTTGAGATCCTACTATGAGATGGAAGCCTTTACCCTCCTCCCAAGCCTAGACTACAGTTTTTCTTTCATTCTAAAAAAACCTCTATTATAAGTTTTTTTAAAAAATGAGGTGGTTCAAGTGGAAAAAGATGGGGAAGCCAGATAAGGGATTAATAAAAACTGCTAGCTAGAAAAGACCAGTGAAGGAGAGAACTACAGCCAAACATCCTCCATACCTTAATCCATTGGCAACTGAAACTGGAGTGAAAGAATGTTATCGGCGCATTCCAATCCAGGGCAATTCTTGTCAGATTGATCAGAGGCTCACATTAAAATGTATACTTATCTGAATTGTTTTTCTTCCTCTATTCTCTTCCTGCTCTTAATTAAATTACATTATGGCTGGATCTACAGTGCCATATAATCCAGATTATCAAAGCATTTCAAATCGGATAATTTAGATTTTATATGGCAGTTTAGATCCGGCCTATGTAACACAATATTTGTTCCTGTGTTATAAATGTCATTTTCTAATTGGTTCTATGATAAAAATATGGAAAAAGTTTATTAAAGCGCAAAAACTTTGTTTTTGGCGGGACATCCTGTGGTACATTTTGCTATGGTTTTTCAATGAAGTTCTCATTGAATCTCAACATAGTTTGTGGCAGCCACAGAAACAAAGTTTCTGGAGTAGAGCCACTACTTTCAAAGTATTGAACAATTAAACAGGAAATAACACGTTCAAACCCAGAAAGTCTGAACATTTTTCAGACTTTGTTACATAGTGTAATAAAGCTGCTGGAGGCTAATTGTCAGCTGATGGCCACAAAATCCTAGCTAGTCTTAAAAAAAAAAACAGTACTAGATTCCACTCGAGTAAATAACTATCAGCCAGTTTCAAATCTCCCCTTTTTGGGCAAGGTTCTGGAGAGAGTGGTGGCCTTTCAATTCCAAAGTTTCTTGGAAGAAACCGATTCTCTAGATCCATTTAAATCTGGTTTCAACCCTGGCTATGGAAGAGAGACGGCATTGGTCGCCTTGGTAGATGACATAAGAAGAGAACTAGACAGGGGGAGTGTTAGTTCTCCTGGACCTATCAGAGGCATTCAATACCATCAACCATGGTATCTTTCTGGGTCGTCTCTCAGGGAAGAGACTAGGTGGCAGTGTGTTTCAGTGGCTCTGTTCCTTATTGGAGGATTGTACCCAAAAGGTGGTGCTGGGGGACTCCTGTTTGAGCCCTTGGCCAGTGGGTTATGGGGTCCTTCAGGGATCTATTCTGTCTCCCATGCTGTTTAACATCTACATGAAACCACTGGGTGAGATTATTATTATTATTATTATTATTATTATTATTATTATTATCTTTATACCCCGCAAAATCTCCCAAAGGACTCGATGCGGCTTTCAAAGGCCAAGGCCACCAACAAACAACAGCATACAAATACAACAATAAAACTCATAAGCAAATAATAAAACATCAAGCAAAACAATAGTACAGTAAAAACAATGACACCGTGACGCATTTAAAAACCTAAAGGCCGGTCCAAATATAATGGACAATTTTTTAAAAAGTGCTGGACTTGACAGGTGATATGTAGAGGTATTTGGAGGTAGATGCAATGTGCAGATAATCCTAAATCTTTAACAAAGTGCATTTGGGACTTGATGCCAGGAGTTTCCTAATCTGGAAAGGCACACTGGAACAGCCAGGTGTTCAGGCTTTTCCTAAAGACTGACAACGTTGCGGCTTGTCTGATGTCCTTGGGGAGAGAGTTCCAGAGTTGGGGGGCCACCACATATATGCAGATGATGCCCAATTCTATAACTCCTTTCCACCTAAAGCCAAGGATACTGTCCTGGTCCTGAACCCTTGAAAACAGTAATGGACTGTATTAGGACTCCACTTAGGCAGAAAAAATGAAATGCAAAGATACCGAATGGGGACGCATGGCTCGAGGGCAGTACCTGTGAGAAAGATCTTGGAGTTCTTGTGGACAACAAGTTAAACATGAGCCAACAATGTGATGCGGCGGCAAAAAAAGCCAATGGGATTTTGGCCTGCATCAATAGGAGCATAGTGTCTAGATCTAGGGAAGTAATGCTACCCCTCTATTCTGCCTTGGTTAGACCACACCTGGAATATTGTGTCCCATTCTGGGCACCACAATTCAAGAGAGATATTGACAAGCTGGAATGTGTCCAGAGAAGGGCAATGACTTCAAACTACGAGAAAGGAGATTCCATCTGATCATTAGGAAGAACTTCCTGACTGTGAGAGCCATGGAACTCTCTGCCCTGGAGTGTGGTGGAGGCTCCTTCTTTGGAAGCTTTTAAACAGAGGCTGGATGGCCATCTGTCAGGGGTGATTTGAATGCAATTTTCCTGTTTCTTGGCAGGGGGTTGGACTGGATGGCCCATGAAGTCTCTTCCAACTCTGATGCTATGAAACCCAATTTTCCTAGTTTCCAACAGACCCCACAACCTCTAAGGATACCTGCCACAGATGTAGGTGAAAAGTCAGGGGAGAATGCTTCTGGAACATGGCCATATAGCCCGAAAAACCTACAACAACCCAACCTCACTCTAATTCTATCTAGTCTACCTACTCACTGAGGAGCCCCCGGTGGTGCAGTGGGTTAAAGCCCTGTGCCGGCAGGACTAAAGACCGACAGGTTGCAGGTTTGAATCCGGGGAGAGGCGGATGAGCTCCCTCTATTAGCTCCAGCTCCTCATGCGGGGACATGAGAGAAGCCTCCCACAAGGATGATAAAACATCAAAAATCATCCAGGCGTCCCCTGGGCAACGGCCAATTCTCTCACAACAGGAGCGATTGCTCCTGACACAACAAAAAACAAATCAAAAACTTGACCATCTTGATTAGCATTTAATGGCATAGCATTTTCAAGGTGTGCCTTGTCGAAGGCTTTCATGGCCAGAATCACTGGGTTATTGTAGGTTTTTTCGGGCTATATGGCATGTTCTAGAGGCATTCTCTCCTGACGTTTCGCCTGCATCTATGGCAAGCATCCTCAGAGGTAGTGAGGTCTGTTGGAACTAGGAAAAAGGGTTTATATATTTGTGGAATGACCAGGGTGGGGCAAAGGACTCTTGTATTTTGCTTCGCATTGTAATTGTTATTGCTTGTATTGATGTATTGTGGGCTCGGCCTCATGTAAGCCGCACCGAGTCCCTTGGGAAATGGTAGCGGGGTATAAATTATTATTATTAATTATTATTATTAAACTTTATTTGTACCCCGCTAGCATCTCCCGAAGGATTCGATGCGGCTTACACAGGCCGAGGCCTCAACACACAACATATTTATTTATTTTATTTATTTACGACATTTATATGCCACCCTTCTCACCCCGAAGGGGACTCAGAGCGGCTTACAAGGTATATATACATACAATATATTATTAACATAGTACAATATCAGTTTTAAATATTGCTATATTGCACTATATCAATTATACTGTAATATTATTAGTAATATTACATGTAATATAAATATATAATTATAATATCATATTATTATAGTATTATATTGCATTACATTACAATATTATAAATATTATATGTATACACAATATATTATATATTATATTATAATATATTATTAGAATAGCACAGGAGACAAGGTGGATCTATACAATACAATCTAAGCAAATCAAACAATTAAAAACAGAATAAAGCGAAATGAACAACAGGCAAAAAACAATACACTAAAACACAATAAAATTGGGCCAAGCCAGAGTAATGGGTACAAGAATTAAAAGTGCTGATGTGACAGGAGGTGTATATGAGGCTTCTAGGGCAAGTGTGATGTGCGATGTGCAGCAATCATTGGTTCTGGTAAAGTGCTTATGGGACTTGGTAGTGGAGATTTCCTAATCTGGGAAGGTGCATCGGAAAAGCCAGGTCTTCAAGTTCTTTCTGAAGACAGCCAATGTAGGGGCCTGTCTAAGGTCTTTGGGGAGGGTGTTCCAGAGTCGGGGGGCCACCACAGAAAAGGCCCTGTCTCACGTCCCCACCAAGCGCGCTTGCGACGCAGGCGGGATCACGAGCAGGGCCTCTCCAGATGACCGGAGTGAGCGTGTGGGTTCGTAGACAGCGATACGCGGTCACGCAGGTAGGGTGGTCCCAAACCGTTCAGGGCTTTGTAGGTAAGCACCTGCACCTTAAATTGGGCTCGGAAAATAAACGGCAGCCAGTGGAGCTCCTTAAACAGGAGGGTTGACCTCTCTCTGTAATGAGCCCCGGTTAACATCCTGGCTGCTGCCCGTTGGACCAGTTGGAATTTCCGAGCCGTTTTCAAGGGCAGCCCCACGTAGAGCGCATTACAGTAATCCAATCTAGAGGTGACCAAGGCATGGACCACCCCGGCCAGATCAGCCTTCGCGAGGTACATAATAATAATGATGATGGCCTGGCAGTGCCTGGAGCAATCTTTTGTTGAGAGGTGATTAGATGTCCCAGATTGTTTCCTCTCTTTTTCAGTGGCTTCTGTGTAGTCTGAGATAGTGGTTGTCAGAGTGGTCCAGCAATTCTGTGTTCTCAAATAGTATGCTGTGTCCAGGTTGGTTCATCAGGTGCTCTGCTATGGCTGACTTCTCAGGTGGAAGTAGCCTGCAGCGCCTTTCTTCTTCTTCCTTTTCCCATTGTTTCCCCTCACACACACGTGGCAGCCATTTCCAGACGGCGGCCGGGACGGTCCACGCTGCCGAGAAACGCGTTTTCAGGCAGGACGTTTGAGGCCGCTACGGTGGCCGTGCGAGAGAGGGAGCGCTCTGATTGGCCGCGGCGCGCGTGACGACGCAGGAAGAGGCCCTCGCGACGCCCTCGAGGTTGGCGGGAGATTTCAGCATGGCGGCCGACTTCACCCTCAATTCCTCTTCTTCCACCTCTTCTCCGTCCTCCTCCGTCTCGTCTGCTGCTTCCTCGCGCGAGGGCTGCTGGCCGGAGGGGACGGTAGCGGAGACGGGCTTCGTGCGCGCCGTGCTCAGCCTCCCGGAGAAACCCAGCACCACCATCCGCTTCTTCGAGCGGGGAGACTACTACACCGTCCACGGCGCCGATGCCTTCTTGGCGGCCGCAGAGGTCTTCAAGACCAGGGGCGTCATCCGGGCGCTGGGGAAAGGTAGGCCGCGGCCTGTGAGGCCAGCGAGGCCTGCGCCCACTTGGGCCCGAACTCCAGGTGTTTTGGACTCCAACTCCCACCATTCCTCACAGCCTCAGGCCCTTTCCTTTTCCCCCTCAGCCGCTTAAACACAGGTGGAGTTTGGGGGAAATAGACCTTGACATTTGGGAGTTGTAGTTGCTGGGATTTATAGTTCACCTACTATCAAAGAGTAAGTAATGCTACCCCTCTATTCTGCTTTGGTTAGACCACACCTGGAATATTGTGTCCAATTCTGCGCACCACAATTCAAGGGAGATATTGACAAGTTGGAATGTGTCCAGATGAGAGCGACTAAAATGATAAAAGGTCTGGAGAACAAGCCCTATGAGGAGCGGCTTAAGGAGCTGGGCATGTTTAGCCTGAAGAAGAGAAGGCTGAGAGGGGATATGATAGCCATGTATAAATATGTGAGAGGAAGCCACAGGGAGGAGGGAGCAAACTTGTTTTCTGCTTCCCTGGAGACTAGGAAGCAATGGAACAATGGCTTCAAACTACAGAGAGGAGATTCCATCTGAACATGAGGAAGAACTTCCTGACTGTGAGAGCCGTTCAGCAGTGGAACTCTCTGCCCCGGAGTGTGGTGGAGGCTCCTTCTTTGGAAGCTTTTAAACAGAGGCTGGATGGCCATTTGTCAGGGGTGATTTGAATGCAATATTCCTGCTTCTTGGCAGGGGGTTGGACTGGATGGCCCATGAGGTCTCTTCCAACTCTTTGATTCTATGATTCTATATGAAAGAGCATTCAGAACCCCACCAGTAACAGAATTGGGCCAAACTTCCCACACAGAACCCTCATGACCAACAGAAAATGCTGTGTTTTCTAATGGTCTTTGGTGACCCCTCTGACGCCCCCCTTGCGACCCCCAGGTTGAGAAACTCTGGTCTAGGGCCCTTCCACACAGCCCTATATCCCAGAATATCAAGCCAGAAAATCCCACATTATCTGAGTGTGGACTGAGATAAACCAGTTCTAAGTAGATATTGGCCCGATTCTGTCGTTCATGGGGTTCAGAATGCTCTTTGATTGCAAGTAAACTATAAATCCCAGTAACTACAACTCCCAAATGTTAAGGTCTGTTTCCCCTGAACACCATCTGTGTTCATATTTGAGCATATGGAATATTCGTACCAAGTTTGGTCCAGATCCATCATCCAGCCTCTGTTTAAAAACCTCCAAAGGAGTCTCCACCACACTCCGGGGCAGAGAGTTCCACTGCTGAATGGCTCTCACAGTCAGGAAGTTCTTCCTCGTGTTCAGATGGAATCTCCTCTCTTGTAGTTTGAAGCCATTGTTCCATCGTGTCTCCAGGGAAGCAGAAAACAAGCTTGCTCCCCTCCCTGTGGCTTCCTCTCACATATTTATACATGGCTATCATATCTCAACTCATCCTTTTCTTCTTCAGGCTAAACATGCCCAGCTCCTTAAGCCGCTCTTCATAGGGCTTGTTCTCCAGACCCTTGATCATTTTAGTCGCCCTCCTCTGGACACATTCCAGCTTGTCAATATCTCTCTTCAATTGTGGTGCCCAGAATTGGACACAATATTCCAGGTGTGGTCTAACCAAAGCGGAATAGAGGGGTAGCATGACTTCCCTAGATCTAGACACTATGCTTCTATTGATGCAGGCCAAAATCCCATTGGCTTTTTTTGCCGCCACTTCACATTGTTGGCTCATGTTTAAGTTGTTGTCCACAAGGACCCCAAAGATCTTTTTCACACGTACTGCTCTCGAGCCAGGCATTGTCCCCCATTCTGTATCTTTGCATTTTGTTATTTCTGCCTAAGTGGAGTATCTTGCATTTCTCCCTGTTGTACTTCATTTTGTTAGTTTTGGCCCATCGTTTGAATTCTGATCCTGTCCTATGGAGCATTGGCTATGCCTCCCAATTTGGTGTTGTCTGCAAACTTGATGATCATGCCTTATAACCCTTCATCTAAGTCATTAATAAAGATGTTGAACAGGACCGGACCCATTGGTTTCCAGGTGGAAGGCGGTCCCAGTTGGGGTTGGCTTGACACGCCTTCCCCTTGGCGTGTTTCTCTCTTTCGCCCTCCAGTCGTGCCTCTTCAAATTCTACAGCACTGCTGGTCACAGCTGACCTCCAACTGGAGCACTCAAGGGCCAGGGCTTCCCAGTTCTCAGTGTCTATGCCAGAGTTTTTAAGGTTGGCTTTGAACCCATCTTTAAATCTCTTTTCCTGTCCACCAACATTCCGTTTTCCATTCTTGAGTTCAGAGTAGAGCAACTGCTTTGGGATACGGTGGTCAGGCATCCGGACAACGCGGTCGGTCCAGCGGAGTTGATGGCAGAGGACCATCGCTTCAATGCTGGTGGGCTTTGCTTTTTCCAGCAAACTGATATTTGTCTGCTTATCTTCCCAAGAGATTTGCAGGATTTTTTTTTTTGTGGCAACACTGATGGAATCGTTCTAGGAGTTGCATGTGACGTCTGTAGATAGTCCACGTCTCTCAGGCGTATAGCAGAATTGGGAGGACAATAGCTTTATAAACAAGCACTTCGGTATCCCTATGGATGTCCAGGTCCTCAAACACTCTCTGCTTAATTCGGAAAAATGCTGCACTCACAGAATTCAGGCAGTGTTGAATTTCAGTGTCAATGTTGACTTTTGTGGAGAGGTGGCTGCAAAGTAGTGGAAATGGTCAACATTTTCTAATGTTACACCATTGAGCTGTATTTCTGGCATTGGAGAGGGAATGGCTGGTGACTGCTGGAAGAGCACTTTGGTTTTCTCAGTGTTTAATGACAAGCCGAGCTTCTCGTATTCTCGTTTGATATTCACCCCATTCCTTGTTCCCATCTGAAATCCCCCACCAGGCACATTTCCCTATTCATCCATCTCACCCAGGGTTTTAACATTTTATTCTACCCCTTGTTGGCTCAGCCTGTTGTCCACATTCTTTCTTATTTCATTTCCTGTATTTGATGTTGTATTAACTTGTTTTGTTTACATTTCTTTTGATGTTATTATTTGCTGTATGTATTTTATTTTGATTTGTTGTAATTGTTTGGGCTTGGCATCATGTTAGCCGCCCTGAGTCCCACTGGGGAGCTGGTGGCGGGGTATATAAATAAAGTTTTATTAGTAGTAGTAGTATTAATTGTGGGAGTTGGAGTCCAAAAAGCGGCCGAGGGGGAAAAGGAAGGGGCCTGAAGGTGTTAGGAATGTTGAGTGTTGAAGTCCAAAACGCTTAGAGGTCCGAACCCAGGCATGCTATAGAATCATATGTAACATGCCAGCCAGATATCTTAAACGTGTTTCTTATCCCTTAGGACCCCGGAAACTTGACAGTGTTGCCCTGAGCAAGAGTAATTTCGAATCATTTTTGAGAGATCTGCTCCTGGTGCGTCAATACAGGGCTGAGGTGTACAAGAACAAAGCAGGAAACAAATCCACCAAGGAGAGTGAATGGTACCTGGCTTACAAGGTATGTCATCATGATAACTGGTTGGAGGAAATAGCAATAAGGCTGTAGGCATGGCAGTGAGAAGTGTTTCAGTGGGGCACCACAGTCAAGGTACCCTCTGGTTTCATTGGTGTTCCCTTGCTGCTGCTGCTATGCACTGTTCCATAAACTGCCACATACTTATTTATTTATTTTGCATATTTGTATTCCGTCCTTCTCACCCCCCGGAGGGGGGCTCAGGGTGGCTTCACAACAGGCATTCATTCAATGCCAGAAACAATTATAAATTATAAAAGCAATTAAGACAATTTGTTAATGCTTTAGAATTACTAAAACATAGTTTAAATCACGCAGGTTTGAAATCATAGTCTAGGTCAGTCCATTGTAATTCACACAAATTGGGTCTCATTCTAAATTGTTGCCTCTACTTGTTCGAACACTTGGTACCAGGTTTTGAGTTTCATTCTAAAGTACAAGAGATTATGCAACAGATTACACAGCCCAACAAAAAAAAAATCCTCATTGAGCATTAAGTCCAAGAACCAGCGATTATACCATCTCTTAGCCCTATGGAGCATCTAAGTTTGCTACAAGTGCTTGATTGTAAAATACAGCACTAAATATCCAAGAAATGAAATTATTTCCGTTCTTTTGCCTACTGTTAAACTTGAAAAAGCAACCTTAGGATGTTGGAGTTGTGAAACTCAATCCATGTGATATGATTAATGGCTGGTGCTAAATCTCTCTGCCAGGTTATGTGAAGAATACATCTGAGGAATGTCGTGTTTCCCTTTAGTTTTCTAGATTTGTCAATCTATTGATTTGATTTGCATTATATAATACATTTCTCTTAAAACTTGTATTTATGGTTTTGAGCAACTCATGTAAATACAACAATTTCACATTTTGTCAAGAAATAAAAAAGGGAGTCAGGACCTTCTCAAATTTTTCATAATGGCGACTTGATTTGTGTCTGTAGCACACTATTTATATGTAGACATCTCTTCTCCAGATGAAAGATGTGATTTTTTTCTAATTTCTCTCTAGAGCTCCAGCATTATTCCAGAAAATCCCAGATCAGCTGCCTGGGAATGAAGTTGGCTGCAAGGGAAAGCAGTGCTCCCCATAGGGATATTTTAGCTGACATTGTTATGATGTATAATTGTGAATTGGGAAACTGGGCAGAATGGTGTACTATAAATTATTTATTTACATTACTTCCTTTTAAAAAATTATCTAGTGGTTCCTGTATTCTGGACTTACCAGGATCTTATGGCATTGAACCCACACGATTAACCTTTTTATATTTTTGCTGTTTGTTTGGAATATGTTCAAATTCCACTGTGATTCAAACTGGGTCTTTATTTGTCTCTTCACCCCCCCCCCCCCAAATAGGGTTCTCCAGGAAACATCGCCCAATTTGAGGATGTTCTGTTTGGTAACCATGACATATCCTCATCTGTTGGTGTTATGGGCGTTAAGCTGTCATCAACTGATGGACAAAAAGTTGTTGGAATTGGGTTTGTAGAAACTTTAATGAGGAAGCTGGAAGTATGTGAGTTTGTAGACAACGAACAATTTTCAAACCTTGAAGCTCTGCTAGTTCAGATGGGACCAAAGGAGTGTTTGCTACCTATGGGAGAAAATGGTGCAGATATGGAGAAACTGAGACAGGTAAGCTCCAAAAATTGATAGATTGTTGTCTTTGTTTACACACACTTGGGACCCTACGAGTGTTATTGCATTGCATTCCCATCATCTCTCAACCTTGGTTCTGCTGGCTACAGTGTATGGACACTGCAGTCAAACAAAACAGTTTCTTTCCATTGCTAGGTAAGGTGTTGTTTCTCTGTCATGTCCTCTTTGCTATGAAGAGGAGAGAGGTCATACTCACTGCCATGGATAGTGAGGGTGAGGAGATGCTTCTCTTCACTTTATTTCTTAATTAGTCGCTCTCCACCAAGGTGCTCCGAGCGACTTACATTTTAAAATAGCATTTACACAATATAAAAACATTCGACATAAAAACATACAACAGTGACTATTTGGCAAATTAGATCTGATCACTTTACTTAAATGCACAACCAAACAGCCAAGTCTTGAGCACCTTTACAAAAGGTCGCAACTCCGACATTGCTCTAATATATGGAGGCAATGAGTTCCACAGAATTGGAGCATAGATCGAAAAAGCTCTACGCCTTGTAGCTTCCAGGTGTACCTCCCTAGGGCCTGGTATGTATAGGAGATGGTGGTTGAAGGGCCTGGGTTGGAGCTGGAGTGCCCAGCAGCTCCCTCAGTTGAGCTCAGAAGAACAACCTATGGAGGTAGCTACCGCTTCTCAGCCTGCAGAGCAAGTGCAAGCGAGCTCCTCTGAATACGTGGAGAAAGGGTTATGTTCTCCAGAATTTGTGGAGCTTCAAAGAATCATAGAATCAAAGAGTTGGAAGAGACCTCATTGGCCATCCAGTCCAACCCTCTGCCAAGAAGCAGGAATATTGCATTCAGATCACCCCTGATTTGAATGCAAGAGAAGGCCCAACTTCGCAGGTCCTCTAGATGAGCAGAGAAATGAGCTAGCAATAGATAGCACGTGAGAACCTAGCATATAAGGAGTTCAAGTGTGGTACCATGTTGCTGGCAGCAACGTCAGTGTTGGAACTATGATTTCTGACTTTTAGCTATCTTGGATTCGTGATCTTTGGACTTAGGCTGTTTGGATTTTCGATTGATCTTGGACTCTAGACCCAGTTGGATTCAACTTTAGACCTTTGAAACGGACTCTTGGCCTCCCTGGTTGTTGTTGCCTCTCGGATGGACTCTTTGGCTTGAACTTTGACTGTTTTGTAACTCTCTGCTCCTAAACAGGGTTGAAACTCATGGCACTCACTTGCCGGAAAGCGTAAAGGACATAAATAATAGAACTTCTGCTGTTCCTATCTTTCCCCAAAACTTTCCTGTCAGGGAGGAAGAAAGACCTTGTCTTTTGTTCCAGCCTTTAGGTGATTGTGAAGAGTTCAAGCCAACATGCAGAGGCATGAATACAATGAGAAAGCAGCGAGATAAACACCTGCTTCTTTTAAAATTAAGGGCGGAAACTAAAATAAAAACTGTTTCTCCTCAGAATGTGTCCCAGTATCACACAGGATTTCAACTTGATACAGAATGCTTTTATCTCAAATACATATTTGAAATAACACCTAACTTGTATATACCCTGTTTACTCATGTATAAGTCCAGAAGTTTTAGTCAAAAAGAAACAGCCAAAAAAAAAAAAACCTGGGTTGACTTATCCACAGGTCAGTGTAAGTGCTGTGTCTTAACTTTTATCAAAAAGGAAAAAATCTCCTTCTCTGAGCAGAGTGGTGAAAGGCAAGAGCAGTCCATCCCTGGAGAATATAAAGAAGCACTGACCCCCTTCTGCTCTTTCTGCTGTGGTACAGTTTCTGACCTTTTTGAATGCAGTAGGGAAATGCGGCAGTGGCAAGGGGCAGCTGGCCCTCTGAATCAGCATTGGTGCTTTCCCCTTTGTGGAATGATCCTTGACTTATCCACTGGTCATCCACTGTGACTTATACATGACATTGACTTATATTTGAATACATTATATGCATAGTATCTTTATGCGTGTAATATGTTCAATCGAGAAAGGAATGCAGATCTATTTTGACAAGTAGCTGGGAAGTAGTAGATATCGTTTCCCAACAAAAATATTTTTTTGAAAGTATTAGAATTATATAAACTATAAAAACAGTAGAAATTATTTTCATTTTTAAGTGAAATTCGTTGTTGGATCATTGATACATTTATAGCGTTAATGCAGTCTTTCAGATAAATAGTCAACATTAGTAGTTACTCTTCCCATCTATATCAGGGATAAGAAGTCCATGGCTATATGGTCTTTGATTACAAAGCCAATCTGCCTTAGCCAGTATAGTCTTTGGTGAGGAGTGGTGAACAGCATCTAGAAGGTCACATTATTTCTCTTCCTTCTGTATATTGTCTGTTTTCCTCTATTATTTTATGAATTTGCTCAAGTTTCACTGCTTCTCCATTGGGCACATTTAAAATCATACTTTTGCTCCAGCATGCTTGGAGGAGAATCGGTATAAAAGACAGGAGCCCTGCTGATATTTTGAGCTATAACTCCAGTAATTCTTACCTATTGGATATACTGTCTTTGCTTTACTGAAATAGTAATCAAGAATATCTTGATGACACTTGCTTATCTGCCTTGTGTTATGGCATACATTGTTTTTTGAGAGAATCTGCAGGTTGGAAAGTTGCAACTTATGATTTCATATCCGCAGGTCATTCAAAGGGGAGGAATTCTGATTACAAACAAGAAAAAAAGTGATTTTTTACCAAAAGACATCACTCAAGATCTCAACCGTTTACTGAGATCAAAAAAGAAAGAGCATGTGCGTAGTGCAGCATTACCTGAGATGGACAAACAGGTGAGTCACCTAGCTGAGTGATTTGGTTTGTCTCCTGTAATATACAGAGCAGCTCAAATATAAGATTTCTTTGAAGGGTGAGGAAGTGGGAGAGAAAATGCCTATCCTTGTTTCTATGGTCGTAGGTCCACTATTTTTTTTAATATTTATTGACTAAATTTTACATACAGTAATAGAAGATAATATAATAATATATGCCTTGCACAACAGTAATTGGTTACACTACACTGAACACTACACAATACTAGAACAAGCACTAGCACTAAAAACATATTTTTGGCTTTAGAGAAATGTGTAAAATGTGTTAACTAGAATCCCTTCAGTACTTTGAATTGTTTTGATCTGCAGTTACATGCAGTGCCTTAGAGCAGGGGTTCTCAGAACTCTTGGGGCTCTGTGGGTGATAGTCAGGGTCTCTGTAGCACCATGCTGCTCTCTGCCTCCTCCTCTTTCCTCCTTCTGAGAAATACAGGAAAATTAAAGTGTTCGGCTCCTGGAAACAACAGCAGCAGCATCCTCCTGGGACACGGATCCTTCCCCCACCCCGCCTCCCTCACTGCGCAGACCCCTCCTGCTTTTCATTGTTTCCAAAATGCTGTTTCCCTCCTACCACTCAGAAGGGGGTGGACTTGTCCCCGGGGGTCTTCCACTGAAATACGGTTAAGTTTATGTTGGTTAAAATTGTTCTTCATTTTAAATATTATATTGTTCTTTCCTTCCTTCCTTCCTTCGTTTACTGCACTGTGTGAATTAGTTCACTCAGACACTCTCCATCCATTTTCCCCAGCCTGGCCTGTGCCTGAAATATATACACATTACAATATATAATATAATATGGAATAATATGATGTATGGGCCCTTTGATAGCACAGCAGGTTAAACCACTGAGCTGCTGAACTTGCTGACTGAAAGGTCGATGGTTTGAATCGAGGGAGTGGGGTGAGATCCTGCTGTTAGCCCCAGTTTCTGCCAACCTCGCAGTTTGAAAACATGCAAATGGGAGTAGATCAATAGGTACCGCTTCTTTGGGAAGGAAATGGCACTCTATGCAGTCACGCTGGCCACATGAGCTTGGAGGTGTCTATGCACAATGTGGGCTCTTCAGTTTAGAAATGAAAATGAGCATCAATCCCCAGAGTCTGACACAACTGGACTTAATGTCAGGGAAAAACCTTTATCTTTACCTTTTCATGTTATATGTAATATATAAACATTTCTTGGGGTGCAATGGCTCCGCAGATGAAAAGGTTTGAGAGCCCCTACCTTAGAGAATAATAGTAAAATTGTGTCTTAATAGTTTTATTACACCTGTGTTTTTGTGTCGTGTTTGTGTGCCATATAGAATTTTAGGCCCATGAAAAGATGTCTTACACACTTAAGAGATGCATGGGCATTATGTTGACATGACGTAGATGTTTCATTTTGGTTTAATACAAAGCTTTCATGTAGAAAGTTCCAGTTCCAATGGATGTAGCTCAACATTATGGCTGATTTAAGTTATTGGTGGGCTTTCTTCTTGCCTCAGTAGAACCTCAAGAGCCACTAACTGGAGAAGTGTTTAGAATAGTAATTGGAAGGCTGATGGTGGTCGACATAAAATGGGGATGGACACAGTTCCTTTCCTGCACACCATATGGCGGCATGACCTTAGTTATTGAGACCAGATCTTCTTAACACACCAGTTAAACCTGCCCAGCAGAACTGCAAAAAATAAAACCTGGTCAAAAATCTGATCAATCCTGTTTTACAACAAAACAAATATAAAATTAAAACACGCCACATACCAGCCTTGGGCCCTTTTTTATTTTTAGAAACCCTTGCAGATTTGCTGCAGAAGATCAAAAGACATGTCAATAGATGCTCACCTTTGTTCTTTTGGCCTGATTGTGTATATGAACTATTTTCCAAGATGATGTAAATAACTGCAATCAGTTAGTCATAGAATCATAGAACCATAGGAGCCCCCGGTGGCGCAGTGGGTTAAAGCACTGTGCTGGAAGGACTGAAGACCGACAGGTCGCAGGTTCGAATCCGGGGAGAGGCGGATGAGCTCCCTCTATTAGCTCCAGCTCCTCATGCAGGGACATGAGAGAAGCCTCCCACAAGGATGATAAAACATCAAAAATCATCCAGGCGTCCCCTGGGCAACGTCCTTGCAGACGGCCAATTCTCTCACAACAGGAGCGGTTGCTCCTGACACGACAAAGAAATAAAAAAATAGAACCATAGAGTTGGAAGAGACCTCATGGGCCATCCAGTCCAACCCCCTGCCAAGAAGCAGGAATATTGCATTCAAAGCACCCCTGACAGATCTAGCCTCTGTTTAAAAACCTCCAAAGAAGGAGCCTCCACTACATTCCGGGGCAGAGAGTTCCACTGCTAAACGGCTCTCGCAGTCAGGAAGTTCTTCCTAATGTTCAGATGGAATCTCCTTTCTTGTAGTTTGAAGCCATTGTTCCGCGTCCTAGTCTCCAGGGCAGCAGAAAACAAGCTTGCTCCCTCCTCCCTGTGGCTTCCTCTCACATATTTATGCATGGCTATCATATCTCCTCTCAGCCTTCTCTTCTTCAGGCTAAACATGCCCATTTCCTTAAGCCGCTCCTCATAGGGCTTGTTCTCCATACCCTTGATCATTTTAGTCGCCCTACTCTGGGCACATTCCAGCTTGTCAACATCTCTTCAATTGTGGTGCCCAGAATTGGACACAATATTCCAGATGTGGTCTAACCAGAGCAGAATAGAGGGGTAGCATTACTTCCCTAGATCTAGACACTATGCTCCTATTGATGCAGGCCAAAATCCCATTGGCTTTTTTTGCCGCCACATCACATTGTTGGCTCATGTTTAACTTGTTTTGTGTGGAGTTCCCACCTTACTCGTGCTGGTAGAAGGAAAAGGCTTGAGCTGTTCTTGAAGTGTCGCTCCTGCGAGGTAGGCCAAGGATGCACTGTTTTATTTCTAGGGATGCTGCTTGACAAAAGAAATCTTGGTTAATTGGATTATCAGCTGCTGATTAAACATTCATATGAGTACAAGTAATACCTCTGAAGGAAGAAACACATGTTTCTTTTTAGATAGTATCCATATGTGTTTTATTAGTAGGCATCATCTTGGAAAGTTTGGTGCAGTGAGTAGAGTAAGACTCTGGTGGATAAGGTTCCAATATTTGCCCAGCCATGAAAATTCAGTGGGTGACCTTAAGCAAGTCACACTCTCTCAATCTTAGAGTAATAGAATCAAAGGGTTGGAAGGTATCACAAGAGCTATCTAGTCCAACCCCATTCTTCCATGTAGGAACACACAATCAAAGCTCTCCTGACAAATGGCCATCCAGAGACAGAGACCCCACCACACTCTGAAATAGCACATGCCACTGCTAAATAGCAGTTCTGCCTCACGTTTAGGCAGAACCTTTTTTCCTAAAATTTTAATCCATCGCTCCATGTCCTAGTTTCTACAACAGCAGTAAACAAGACAGTGTCAAACCTCCTTTAAATAAACCTTGCCAAGAAACTGGTAGGTTTGCCATAAATTGGAGTTGATTTGTGATTATGATATGACAGTACTTAATGCAAGAGAGGGAAAAGTGGCTCTTAAGATAATGTTTGGCATTCGTAATTTTTAAAATAAAAATATATAACAAATTTTAATATTTTATGTGTATATTTATAGTCTCACTAGTTAGATAAATGTACCAAGAAAACAAAATGTTATTTATTTATAAATAAATAAATAAATACATACATAAGTAAATAAAATGTTAAAATTGATTGATTAATTATGTGCAGAATTGTAGCTGTGGCTGGTTTTGGAGCTTTGGTTTCTTGTTGTAGTTGGCTGCTATGTATTATGTCCACCAGGTGGCAGTCTGCCTATACAGACACATGAAGGGTCTGCCAGAAACAAGTAGTAATTGAGGAGATTTTTTTTTTGAGTTGGACTATATGTAGAAATCAAAATGATATGGGCTGCCCAATAATGGAGTTGGAACTAAATTATATGGTTAGTGTAGATACATATAACTGCATTATTGGAGCCCCCAATTGCACAGTGGGTTAAACCCTTGTGACGGTAGGACTGAAGACAGTGTAGATACATATAACTGCATTATTGGAGCCCCCAATGGCACAGAAAGTTAAACCCTTTTGCTGGCAGGACTGAAGACCAACAGGTTGCAGGTTCAAATCTGGGGAGAGTGCGGATGAGCTCTCTCTGTCAGCTCCAGCTCCCCATGTGAGGAAGCCTCCACAAGGATGGCAAAACATCAAAACATCCAGGCATCCCCTGGGCAACATTCTTGCAGACGGCAAATTCTCTCACATCAGAAGTGACTTGCAGTTTCTCAAGTCACTCCTGACACAAAAAACCTGCATTATTTGGCAGTGTAGATGCAGCCATGGTTTTAAAAGAAGTTCTTTTGAGCCATTTCTTGTTTATTTATTATTTTATTTACCATACTTGTATCCTGCCTTTCTCAACCTCTAAGGAGACTCAAGGCAGCCTCACAAAGACAACATTTCAGTGCTGCATGAACATATACATCAATGAATGAATATTAACAAAACCATCCAGTTAAAACATAACATTAAAACAACAATCAGGGAGCCTCACGGTGGTGCAGTGGGTTAAACCCTTGTGCCAGCAGGACTGCTGAGTGATAGATCAGTGGTTTGAATCTGGAGAGAGTGGGTTGAGCTCCCACTGTCAGCTCCAGCTTTCTATGCTGGGACATGAAAGAAGCCTCTCACAAGGATGGTAAAACATCAAAACATGCCGGCATCCCCTGGGCAATGTCTTTGCAGACAGCCAATTCTTTCACACCAGAAGTGACTTGCTGTTTCTCAAGTCGCTCTTGACACAAAAAACCCCCCAAAACAAAACAAAAAACCCCAATTAAAATTACATAATCCAGTTCATATTCCAGGGCCAGTCTGGGTTGCCATTAAGTTAATCTATTTTGTTAATACCTTTTTATTACTTATTAGTGAGACCTTCAGATACACATAGTTGGAAACGATAGAAGGTATGCATTTGTTTTTCTATATGGACGTTGTCTTTATAAAGGCAGAATGTTATATAGCCCTCATCAGATAGCTTTGGAAAAGTTTTACATTTTTTCCCCTGGAAAAATGAAAAAACGTGCCCTACTGTGCTGTAGAAATAGGCAGGATTATGTGAGTAAAATATTCAAAATGACATTGTCTTCCAAAAGAGTGGAAGTGAATCTCTTAATTTTTCAGTGTGTGATTTACCTATCACCTATCTATAGTTGAGAAAATATTTTCATTTTCCCCCCTATCTTGTTCATATATCACTTTGTTGCTGCTATGTGCCTTCAGCCAGTTTCCTCTTAGGGTAAAGGTAAAGGTTTTCCCCTGACATTAAGTCCAGTCGTGTCCGACTCTGAGAGTTGGTGCTCATCTCCATTTCTAAGCCAAAGAGCCGGCATTGTCTATAGACACCTCCAAGGTCATGTGGCCAGCATGACTGGATGGAGCACTGTTTCCCACTTACAACGACCCTATCATGGGGTTTTCTTGGCAAGATTTATTCAGAGGTGTTGAGAGAGTGTGATCCATTCAAGGTCACTCAGTGGATTTCCGTGATGGAGCAGAGATTTGAACCCTCGTTTCCAAAGTCACTGGGCCCTTCCACACAACCATATAACCCAGAATATCAAGTCCGAATAACCCACAATATCTGCTTTGAACTGGGTTATCTGAGTCCACACTGCCATATCTTCCAGTTCAAAGCAGATAATATGGGATTTTATTCAGCTGTCTGGAAGGGGCCTCTGTCCAATAATCTATTCCACCTCACTGATTCTCCTCACAAATTATCTACCCACAGTTTAATCCATTTTTTAAATTTTTAAAGTACATGAAACTTTGAAAAGATCTCTTGTAGTATTTGTATAGGTATTTCAGCATGGAATAAACAGTGGTGTTCTTAATTTACTTTAAGGATAACGTGAGGAGAACATCATTTGGATGCTTTGTCCAGGACTTGATGCTGCTTCCACATTTAGTTGTTCCCATGACTCTTTCTTTCAAGCATCTCTGGAAAGTTAAACCCGTGCTAGTGAAATCATCCAGAGATAATTTAGAAATATTGGTGGTCAGGAGGGGAAAGAATATATGTGTTGGGGTACATTCACCCTTAACCCCAGCAATACATCAGTGGCATGCTACCAGCCTGAATGTATCCAGAATAACCATTCTCTTGAATTGTGTTTTCTGTTTAGGTTGCCATCTCTTCCTTGTCAGCAGCAATTAAGTATTTAGAGCTCTTAAATGATGACGCTAATTTTGGGCAGTTTGAACTCTCCACCTTTGACCTCAACCAGTACATGACACTGGATCATGCTGCTTCCAGAGCCCTTAACCTTTTCCCGGTAAGTCTTTTTCGTTTGGGGCTGCCTTCATCTATTGCCTGTTACTCCCATAAAATGTAGATAAGTTTGGAATTCTGTTCCTTTGTTGACTTTCTGTCTCATCGGTTTTCAAAGCATCAGTGTTATCCTGATGCTTCTCCAACCTTATATTTCTTAACATGCAAATGTGAGTAGATCAATAGGTACTGTTTCGGCAGGGAGGTAACGGAACTCCATGTCGTCATGCCAGCCACATGACTTTGGAGGTGTCTATGGACAACTCTGGCTCTTCAGCTTAGAAATGGAGATGAGCACCACTCCCCAGAGTCAGACACGACTAGGGGAACTTTTACCTTTTATACATTTTATTCCCCATTTAAAAGGGTTGAAATTATTTATTTATTTATTTATTTATTTATTTACATTATTTCTTTCCCGCCCATATCAGCCCAAAGGCGACTCAGGGCGGCAAATAATCCCCAGAAGATGTAACTATTGGTCAAAAGTGTTTCAATATGCAATATAAAGATTGCCAATTTTTTTACCTCTAGGCATCCCTTGAGAATACATTTGATATTTGGCTTTCAGTGTGAAAAAACTATCCTCAAAACAGCAGTGGGAAACTGTATGGGAGCCTGGAGTCTATTTCCAACACATTCCCCCTCTTCATGTCATAATACTTTTGTTATTTTCTCCCTTCCTTCACAAATTGTTGTTAGGAACTGACGTTATGTCAATTTTGGGTACTAGTTTTGAGAGAGACTACAATAACATGTGGGAGTAAGGGCATATGTTCACTCTTAGTGGCTTTGTCTGTGGGTTTGGGGCAAAAATGGTTTGAAAGTGTTCTGATTTTGTTTAAATGTAAAACTGGAGGGAGCTGTAAAGGATTGATGAAAGCTTTCCCATGCTCCATGCACATTCAGTTCCCCCATTTGTGTGTAGCAAGGGTTTCCCCATTTTTCAGGAAGTGTTTTTTAAAATTGCAAAATAATACATTTACAGAGTTGGGAGAGACCATAAGTATAATCCCCTACCTTGCAGGAATACACAGTCAAAGCATCTCCTATAGATGGCCACCCAACCTCTAGAAAAAGCAGGTTCTACCACGTTCTGATGCAGCATATTCCAAATAATTCTTATGATCAGGAAGTTCTTCCTAATGTTTAGGTGAAATCTCTTTTCTTGCAATTTGAATCCATTGCTCTGTGTCGTATTTATTATTTTATTATTTTATTTACAGTATTTATATTCCGCCCTTCTCACCCCACAGGGGACTCAGGGTGGATTACAATGTACACATACATGGTAAACATTCAATGCCATAGACACACAGCACATATAGACAGACAGTCAGAGACCATTTAACATTCCACTTTTCTGGCCACCAGAGGAGCTGTTGCTTCACTGTCCATCCGTGACACTGATGAAGTACTTTCCGCATTCCCCACATGCTTTCGCTGGAGATTTTTATGGCCTCATAAATTTGTTAAATTAGCCTTCCCACACATAGGTGGTACCTAAATTTCCTACTTGACAGATACAACTATCTTTCGGGTTGCAAAGGTCGACAACAAGCTACACAAATTGGCCGGAAGCTCACCTGACCTGGGCTGGCTTCAAACTCATGACCTTTCGGTCAGTAGTGGTCTTAATGCAGCTAACACCCAGCCAGCTGCGCCACAGTCCCATAGTCTTTAGAGCAGTGGTTCTCAATCTGTAGGTACCCAGGTGATTTGGCCTACAAGTTCCAGAAATCCTAGCCAGTTTACCAGTTGTTAGGATTTCTGGGAGGTGAAGGCCAAAACATCTGGGTACCCACAGGTTGAGGACCACTGATCTAGAGCAACAGAAAACAAACTTTCCCCCTCTTTCAAATATGTAAACATCGCTATCAGGTCTCTCAGCCTTCTTTTCTCCTTCTTTTCCCAGTTTCCAAAGCCATTCCTCTTAGAACTTGCCCATTTTGATTGCTCTTCTCTGATCACCTTCCAGCATATTAGTTGTTTGAATCCACAAGTCAATTCTTGAACTGTTGTGCCCAGAACTAGATACAATGTTATTCCAGGTTAAGTCTGACCAAAATAGAAGAGAGTGGGGCTATGACTTCCCTTGATCTAGACCAGGGGTCCACAAACTTTTTAAACAGAGGGCCAGTTCACAGTCCCTCAAACTGTTGGAGGGCCGGGTTATAATTTGGAAAAAAAATGAATTAATTCCTATGCACACTGCACATATCTTATTTGTAATGTAAAAAAACACTTAAAACAATACAGTAATTAAAATGAGGAACAATGTTAACAAATATAAACTTATTAGTATTCCAATGGGAAGTGTGGGCCTGCTTTTGGCTGATGAGATAGGATTGTTGTTGTTGTGTGCTTTCAAGTCGTTTCAGACTTAGGTTGGCCCTGAGCGAGGGCCGGGTAAATGAGCTTGGAGGGCCGCATCCGGCCCCCGGGCCTTAGTTTGAGGACCCCTCTTCTAGACCATGTATGGGCAACCTTAGGGCCTCCAAGTGTTTTGAAGTTCAACTTCCTCAATTCCTAACAGCTGATTGAAGTCCAAAACATCTGGCGGGTCGAAGTTTACCTATGCCTGATCTAGACACTATATTCCTATTAATGCAGGCTAGAATTGCATTGGTTTTTTTCAGAAATTAATAAATTTTCTTAATTAGATGCCACGGGGACATTTTCATCATGCTTGAGCCCTGTTTTAGGTTGAGGGGAACCTTTCCTCCAAGTTTAGAGTGCTAAAAATGGCAGAATTGGCCCAATGACCATATGTTGCGTCCCCTAGAGATGGAGTGAGAGACAGCCCTCCCAGGTCCGGGTGAGTGGTGTGTTTAGCTGTCCAAGCCACCTTGAATTTGGGTAGCTGCATTTCCTTGCTCTGGAAGCATATGAAATAAATTGAGCAATCTTGGTGGATCAGATAGCATTTGAAAAGACAAGATATATTGAAGGAAACTTTTTTATCCACACAATATGTCAGTATCTACTTTAAGATGAGGAAAGGCTGATTATATAAGTCACATTATAAGCCTAGCAGGGATGCTTTCAAGTAGTATTGATCTCAGGATACACCCCTGTGGAGACCAGTGTTTTATTTCCAAGCTCTAAGTGGGTTTTATTTGTTTTTAAAAAGAGGCTGTTCTCTGATTTGGCTTCACAGTTGGGATCCTAGACTCCCATTTGCCACAAAATTTAGTACATTTGCACAATTACTCATGGAGGGGAGTCTTCTATCCCCTTTTTGTTCTTTTCCTCTTCGTCTGCTCATCTCTTCACTTAACATGTCTGTCTTCCTTTGAATTTTCTCTTCTTTTGTAGGCAAAAGGGTGGGTTATATTTTACAACTGCTTACCCAAATGTTAAGTTATGCATTACAATAAAACTGAAGCATAAGAAGTATTTAAGGTATAGATATTTTACATACCCTCTTCCACCATATTTCATTTGCTCTTAAAGTGGATTTTAAAATATGAAGACTGCTGGGGTTTTATTGACTTTATACCAGATTGTGTATTTTTTTTTCCTTCTTAGGGTTCATCAGGACACACCCAAAGTACACAATCTCTATCTGGATTGTTAAATAAGTGCAAAACACCTCAAGGGCAGAGACTGGTGAATCAGTGGATCAAACAGCCCCTGATGGACAAGAACAAAATAGAGGAAAGGTAAATAAATAAAAGAAGAAGGAAGCTGGGTTCTTTTTCTCTTCTTGACTCTTGATGCTTGGCAGTGTCTAGACAATGCACCGCTCCACTGCTGCCACTTTTTGGAATTAGGTCATAGTCGGGAGCTTTAAATAACATCCTGAATATATTTAATTCTGCACATACCACTGGCATGAAATAGGAAGGCAATGCTTGGTGCACTTAAAACATGCTTCGGTGCATTAAACACAATTGTACGTTGTTTTGTTCAAAGCAAGCAATTCGAGGCAATGAAACATGGGTGGGATGTGTTCTGAAATTGTGTGAATTTAAGCTTCTGCTTTTTAAGTTTTTTTTTTTTTGCCTTCACGGTTTTGTGCCATTCCCTGTGATTTTTAGAGGCAGAGATATTTTGAAATGAAAATTGCAGTTTTTTACACAGAGTCTTAGGAATTCTACATCTGAAATTGTATTATCAATTTGTTGTTGCTTTGTCCTGTCAAATTGGCTTCACTTTATTGTGAATGGAAACCCCTGTATTAAGAGTCCTTCTCAGATCTTGTGAAGTCAGGGCTGTGATTTCCTTGATTGAGTCAATTTACTGGTAATATAGTCATCCTCATTTTCTACATGTTTCCATGGCTTGGCATTATCATCTTTTCACAAACGGCATCTTCTCTCATGATATGTCTAAAATATAATCGCTTCAGTTTTGTCATTTTTTTCTGAAGCTTGATTTGCTCTAAAAACTCATCCGTTTGTCATTTTGGCAGATCAGGGTATCCTTATAAAGCTCTGCTCCAGTGCCACATTTCAATTTCTTTTCACTATACAACTTTCATATTCATATATAGAACCCAGAAATAAAATTATTTATTTATTTTATTTACTTTATTTGTATACCGCTGTTCTCAGCCCTTAGGCGACTCACAGTGGTTAACAACAAGAACAGCAGAAATTCAGTGCTACAACAACACGGTATATAAAAACAATTAACATCATAAACACATTAACAGTTAACAACAATAACCATCCACTGACGTCTCATAACTAAAAACATGATAGTATTATCACTTGCTCTAAATAGTATTATCACTTGCTCTAATTTTAAAAAATAGCGGCCATTATTCCTGCAGTATAGATAGTTATGGGGCCTCTGTGGTGTAGCGAGTTAAACTGCTAAGCTTCTGAACTTGCTGACCGAAAGGTTGATGGTTTGAATTCGAGGAGCGGGGTGAGATCCTGCTGTTACGTCCATTTTCTGCCAACCTAGCAGTTCGAAAGCATGCAAATGTGAGTAGATCAATAGGTATTGATCTTCTGCATGAAGATAGCGATGCTCCATACAGCCACTTGACCTAGGAGGCATCTACGGACAATGCCGGTTCTTCAGCTTAGAAATGGAGATGAGCACCTCTTCCCAGAGTCAGACATGACTAGACTTAATGTCATGGAAAACCTTTATAGGGGATGGCTGCTTATGGTATTCTATGTGAGTTTTGAAAAGCATATTTGAATTCAGATGGGGAAATGCATAGTATAAATTTATTTATTTACTGTATTTGTATACCACTTTTCTCAGCCCGTAGGCAACTCAAGGCAGTTAACGGTAGATTCAATGCTTACAATATCATAAATAAAATATAAATTCATAGTGTCTCCTTGTTAAACACATTGTCCGATCTCATGTCGTCGTTCCATTTTCCTATGTCAGTTACTCTGCATTTGAAAACGGTTGTTCAAAAAGCCACATCTTGACTTTTTTCTGGAATGTTGAAAGGGAGGTGGCCGATCTAATATCTATAGGGAGGGTGTTCCATAGCTGAGGGACCACCACCAAGAAGGCTCTGTCTCTTCTCCGTCAAATGTACTTGTGATGAAGGCGGTAACGAGAGCAGGGCCTCCTCAGATGGTCTTAAGGTCCTAAGATGGTTCATAAGGGGAGATGCGTTCAGACATGCAAGTTGGGCCAGAACCGTTTAGGGCTTTATAGGCTAAAGCCAGCACTTTGAATTGTGCCCAGTAGCAAACTGTGACGAATAAGTAAGAATAAGAAATAATAAACACAGCAGACCTCAATTTAGCTGGAGAGCTTCATGTGCCCTTTGTGGTGAGGATATATTTTTAGTGCCTAGAGTCATCTTTGTGAGTTTTCTCTTACTCACATCTTCTATATTGGCCGGAATGAATTAACGTGTTTCCTACGCATTGTGCTGGGTTGCATCCAAACTATATTAATTGCAGTTATTTGAAAACGCAATCAGTAGTGCTAAAAATATCTGTATCCAACCCAAAGAATTTCCTTCTATTTCTACTATTATACAGTATTGATCTGACACTAAGTCTAGTTGTGTCCAACTCTGAAGGGTGATACTCATCTCAATTTCTAAGCCGAAGAGCTGCCATTGTCTGTAGACGTCTCCAAGGCCATGTGGCCAGCATGATTTCATGGAGCGCCATTACCTTCCTGCAGAAGCGGTACCTATTGATCTACTCACATTTGCATGTTTTTGAACTGCTAGGGTGGCAGAAGCTGGGCTTAACAGTGGGAGCTTACTTTCACTGCCCAGATTTGAACTGCCAACCTTTTGGTCAGCAAGTTTAGCAGCTCAGCGGTTTAACCCACTGCACCACCAGTTGGCCCTCACAGTATACTATACTAGATACTCGAGATCCATCTACACTGTAGAATTAGTGAAGTTTGACACCACCTTAACTGCCATGGCTCATTGCTATGGAATCGTGGGAGCTCTAATTTAGTGAGACACCAGCACTTTATGCAGAAAAGTCTGTGGATCTTCTAATAGTAAAACTCCCATGTTTACAAGCGCATTGCTTCATGGTAGTTAATGTGGTGTGGTTTTTCTGTATTGTAAAACTGTTAAATGTTTCTTCTTTTATGGCACCAGCCTGAGTTTTACATTGGGCATGTTAGCTGGGAAAGCAGAATACAGTTGAGTATCTGACCTTTTTATAAAGCTAATGTTGATTTACAGACCCTTTCTTAGAAATGACAAAATCACTGTGAAGGCTGTGTGGCTCCCTTGTGGGTCAATGAAAAATGAAAAGGATTCTTAATGCCAGTCAGTGCCCCTGCTGTGTTACAAGGCCACGGGGCTCCGGCTCATACTTGCCGCTCCAGAAATATCTTCAATAGATGAACATGTTCTGGAAGGTTGACTTACAGTATAAATGGGCAAGAGATGATGTGAATGTAACTAGTATAGGTTTAGGTTGGTCGTCCTCAACTTGGTGCCTTTCAAATGTGTTTGACTACAGTCCACACTATCTCCAGCTAGTTGGGGATGATAGACATTATACTGAAATACTGATTTATATTTAGTTGTGTGATTTTTTTTAAAAAAGGAAGATTTATTTACTTATTTATTTACTTTATTTCTATACCGCTTTTCTCAGCCCTTAGGCGACTCAAAGCGGTTTGGTGACTCAAAGATTAATGAACTCAATATAGGGAATAGTTTGGAATATAATATCTTCTGGCTTTGGTACATGGTTTCAAAGATATCTCTGGAGGATGTAAAAAACCTTCTCCTGTTTGAACTGAATCACATCTTTCACAAGTTTGTAGTCCTCACCAAGGATTTAGATAAGCAGATGACTTAGTAGACAGGGAAAAGTCCTTTCTCCACTGATCTCTGCCTGCCTGACCCTTTTCTCTCCTCCTATTCCCTCGCTTGTTAGATTGGTATTTCTCAGGGACATGCCTCTTTCTATACAAAGTTCCTGAGCACATGGCAAGGATCAGAGTCCCTTATTTTCTTCTTCTCCTGTGAGTAAGCAGAGAGGCGAGATGTCTCCTGAGAGTTAGCTGTTTATATAACTAGGTCCAAACTTCCCTATTTAGAAAGTAGTTTGCTGTTCTTTAGCTGAGGAGCACTTCTTTAGGAGTGTCTAGGTCAGGCATGGGCAAACTTGAGCCGTCCATGTGTCTTGGACTTCAACTCCCACAAAGCTGAGGACCTTTGTTGTCTTTAACGCTCTCCTGATTTAATTGCCATTATGTTTGCATGGGCACCTTTTATTCCTCTCTGCCAAAGTGATACCTATTTATCTACTCACATTACCATTTTTGAACTGCTAGGTGGGCAGAAGCTGGGCTGACAGTTGGGAGCTCACACCAACCCAGGCTTGAACTATTGATCTTTCAATTGAAAGGTGAGGAGAGGCACAGAAATACATGGAGGAAGAAGGATACTGGATTTCATCACGCTAGAGCAGGCATTGGCAAACTTGGACCTCCAGATGTTTTGGACTTCACTGCTACAATACCTAACAGCTGGTAGGCTATTGGGAATTGTAGGAGTTGAAGTTCAAAACACCTGGAGGGCCAAAGTTTGCCCATGCCTGCCCTAGAGCATCTATCCATTTTAAATCCAGTTGCTTCCTGCTGCAGAATTCTGGAGTTTGTCGTTTAGGGAGAGACCTTTAAACTAGAGAGGTCCTGGACTTCACTATACTGCAACCCCCGGTATTCTGCAGAAGGCAGCAACTGTATTTAAAATGGAATAAAAAAGAAAGGAGGTGGAGAGATTGATAGGAAGGAAAAGGAAAAGGAGTTTGGAGAGATGTGGATAAGAAGAAAAGGGAAAGGGAGGTTGGAGAGATCGATAGAGAGAAAAGAAAAAAGGGGGTTTGGAGAGATATGGATAGGAAGAAAAGGGAAAAGGAGCTTGTAGAGATCAATAGGAAGAAATAGGAAACGGGAGTGGAGAAATCCAGGCATACTTTAGCTCAGCACTAAGGTTTCATGTCAGGGAAAGAGGGGAGAGGCCCATTCGTAACTATGAGTTATTCGTAAATTGGATTTTTGTAACTCCTGGACTGCCTGTAATTGTCTCAGCCGAGTGACTTTAGATATGTTGGAGTTGTACTCTTATTTGGAGATGACCATTTTAGAAGATGGAAAGGCAGCAACAACATCCTGCTAAAAACAAGAGTTTATATCTAGAAGAGATTTTTCTTTAAAGCTTTTCTTTTGGGACCAAAGCTTGAGAGTAGAC